ATTGAGTTCGCCGGTGGGAAGACAGAACAGAGTTTCTGTTGCAGCCTGCGAGTGGGAAGACGAGAAGACGGGCATGAAAATGAAACTGCGGGGAAGTGAAGGTGAGGAGACGTGGGATTGGAGCTCGGACTAAACAAGTTGTTTTCCCTGGGGAGTTGAGCTTGAGCTCGACCTTTAAGCTTGACTTGAATTTGAGCTCGAGTTCAAGCTTGGTATTTGGCAGTCGAGTCAGCCTTAAACACCCCCTGACTCAAAATCGACTCATCTCGTTTGCACCCCCAACATGAAGAGATATACTATAAGATATAAAAATGCATAACATCCGAACTTCAAATAAAATGATTTTTCTTTTTTGATATTTTGGCCAATTAAGATAAATTTATACGCATATCATATATGTAAAACTCGACCCTTTAGTTGAGAGTAAAAGCTTCAACCAACAAATAATATTAGTTGGGTAAATAAAATTGCATGATAGAATAGCACTTCTCTTATGATAATAGTAGAATTGAGTGGGTTAATTTTTAAACTAAGTATGGTTTAAATTTAATTATGTTATCAACCAATGTATTTTAAAATTTTAAAAGTCACCAAAGTTGCCCATTTGATGGGCAACTAGTGATTAAAGGTAAGTCGTCCGTCAAACAGGTGACTTATATGAATTATTATTTAAAAAAAAAAAAGATACATCACAAAATCAATGTTATAGTTTTGAGATATGTTTTACAGGGTACAATACTGTTGGTAGCTTTGGTTTTGATCGAGCTGTAAAGTTGCAGGGAATAGTCATATTCATTGAGCTGTAAAGTTGTATTATAAAATCAATGTGTATTATCAAATCAAATATGGATGTATGTGTTGTCTTGTCATATAATTAGTAACATTTAATATGATTAAATGATTTATATTATTTAGTCTGAACCATTTACATATGATTCAGAGGGTATATAATCTATTGATGGAGAGCTTTTTTCGATGAGTAGGAGCTGTATCTTGTAGTCTTAAAATTTTTTCTTCAGGAGTTATGCAATTTTTTATGCATAACTTAGCAATGTATTCATCGGTTATGGATAAGATTTGAATAATCCCCACGAAGTAGATGATTCAAGAGGGTAGTAGTCGGTTGAAGGAAAGTTTGGCGCGATCTATTGATGAGAGCCTTGAAGTGAAGACAAAAACAAATGAAATATTTTGTTGTGTTGTGCATTCTTGGAGCAAAGATGAAGATTGCTTATTATGACACATGCATGATGAAGTTATAAAAATAAAGTTGTGTTGGGCTGACGATGAACATTTGGTTTCGTTGGAAGTACTAAAGGGTCAAATTAGTGAAATCGTGGGTGATAAAGAAGGTTCAATCGTGGTGGTTGTTGAAAGGTCATTGATTGATATAAATCACTGTATTCTAAACTATAAATGGTTTCATGTATACGATGATTGGCTTTTAGAGTCCTATAAGAATTTGATGGGAGATGTTGTGCAAGGAAAGAAGAATGATTTTTTGAATGGAGAATATTGGAAGTATATTCAACAAAAGTTTGAGTACAATTTCAATTATTGGCCAAACATAGCTCCAAGCTCGCCCAGGCATGCTAATTTGGAATATGTTATTTTATCTTTCTTTGTTTATGTCATTAGAAGTGTTTAGGTTTATTCTCTGTTTTACTGTTAATCCTGGGTCATGTTATACTTTTTTATTCTTAATTGTCATTTAATATATCATGAATGAAGGCTACTTTGGTATTTAAAATAGAATAAAGAACATGACAACTAAAAATAGGTGAAGGTATATGAAATAGAACAAAGAAGTGGAACTTAATCCATATCAAAAGAATACAACGTGAGCATCATATATATAAATAGAAATATCCAAAAGGTATAAAATACATATCATTGATGCCTTCTCTTATAATGATGTTATATGCATCACTGCCATGAGTAAATGTTGAGGTGCATGCAAAGGTTTGGCGCGTAAGTGGTGCTACTCATCAACAATGTCCTCCACATGTGTGGTGGATGCCTTAGCAAGGACGAAGGTACAAAATCAGGAGTAAATGCAACCTCTAAATGATGGGCCCTCATCAGCATAAGAGGAAGTTCCAGCATTGTATATCTTTATAGGTGCATGTGCTGAGCGAAATGTTGTTTGCTGGCTATCAGTATCCTCAAAGTGCTAGTCATCATCAATATACATTTGTTGGCACAAGATGCAACATAATCCCTTACAATGTTGATGTCCCGCTGCATAGCAGTGTTCTCAGTCCCGCTAAAATAAGGATTTAATATGTTCCATATGTTGAGAAAGAAATCCCTATGCAACAATTTAAATAATTTGTTATGTTATTTAAAAATAATAAGTCCAACTTAAAAGTGTTAGTTATACGCACTATATGCCACTCAGTTGGAGCTCTAAGGTAGTACGTTAGAGGGGGGGTCTATATGTGCCTTCAACATATAAAGCATGGCCCGTAATCTGAACCACCTCAAATACTGTTGAACATCCGAGTCATCGTGGTAATCATAGTGTACTACTGCAACTGTAGATGCCCTTATGTTCTCCCATAGTGCAATGTATGCCTAATGGTATAAAGCCCAATTAAATAGAAGGTAAATACAAACAACCTTAGCTCGAATCTCTCCTTTGTAAGGCTCCCATGTCACTTGCATTAGTGGCAGCAAAGTGAGGAAATTAGGATTTCCAGTCAATAACTTCCTTAAACGATCCTTATTCCATTAGTGGTTAATTTAATATTACTTGCTACAAGAACCATATAAATTACAATTGCTATAGTTGCATGTGAAAAATTTTCATATATGGCACCTACACTTAGACCATCAAGCTTAGATGGGTATGAAACATGAAGTGAAGGTATACTCACATGAAAGTCTACTTGGGCCTGGTGGCTTCACTCAACTCCCTGTATAGATGGGCCAAGATAGTACCTCCAAGTGAGTAGGTTCTGAAAATTGAAATATCCTCCAGTAATGACAAATACTGTATGTGAATCTCATATCCTAAAGTGCCAGGTAGAAGGTGGTATTCAATAATGAATAATATATATGCCCGCACATGTTTCTAAAAATCCATCTCTAATAGGTCCAGGTAGGAATCCCTCCAGAAAGTCCAATGCAACGTCTGAGCATGAGCTCACCCCATTCTAAATTTTGAGCTTATGCGTTGATCAAAGGGGTCATAAGTCATCGCAGCAGTCAGGTCATGTACTCCACCTTCTACATGTTCCAACCACTTTGTGTCCAATAAGAGCTAGGCCGTCCACTTGAATACCCAAAATCATAAAGACGTCCTGCAATGTAATCGTCATCTCTTCAGTTGGCAGGTGGAATGTGTTTGTCTGCGGTGTCCATCTTTCCACCAAAGCTGTCAATAAATGATGATCCATCCGTATGTGCCTCATCTGACTAATGCAAAATTTAGGCATGCTTTCTTACTAAAACACATGCACTCTACCAACTCATTTGGAATTGAGAATTCATCTTCTATTTGCTTCCCTGAGTCCCCAATGTCAAAAGTTATTTGTTGATCTCATTCACTGATGCTTCTACATGTACGCACGAAATCATTCTTTGCAACCATGTCTTCTTCAGTGTCAACGATCCTAGAGAAATAACTTTGAACGACCTCATGTATATCACCATACTTCTACATTTGCTTCATTCATACCAGGGATAAATTCATCATTGTCATTGTCTGATTCATTCTCACTTCCACTATTCATTATTTCATAAACTTCATCCAAACTTAGAGGTTGCCGAGTGGAAGGTCTCGCTCCTTCCTCTAAAACACTATTTAGTTCCTCGACGGGTGCAAATAAAGAACCACCCATTCCACGATCCTCTGAATAAATTGGGATGTCAAATTCTGCTCAAAATTACTATAATCGGGTAGCTCTGCAACCTCCACATAAAGTATAAGAATTTGATTGGCAGCATGTGATAGCACCATAGCACAAACGTCATCATCTTCAACAATACAAGCAATAAACTCATTTCCTACTAGCAAACGACAAACTAACATCACAATGTACTTTGACGTGCCATACTTAAGTCCTTTCAGAACACTCAACTTAAGCTGCTCTAACTTCAACTTACTTGACACTTGTATAGGCTGATAACTGCCCCCAATATAAGTTGGTGCATACTTAGCATCGATGCATAAATAATCACCGTACATCAGAACAAACAAAGAACTTCTTGAACTCATGCTTGCCTTGTATGAACTGACAAAACATCTAATGATATCCAGTGATTAAACAAACACAACATTTGACTTCTCCAAAAATAGTAAAGCTTATGTGTACTCATATTTTCCTAAGTTTAAAAACATTTGCAATACAAAAGAACAGACTTCTTACAAAACTTCTACCCATTTTCAAATGGCATAAAATAATACTCCCAAAATTTCATATCAACAAACATCCAAAAGCGAACACACATACATGTTCATTCTCCCAAAAATATAAAAATTTACAAAAAAATCTCATGAAAATTCAAAACTCATGAACTCAATGGCCTCATTTTCACAAAATCTCAAATTTCCCTTGTACATAACAAAATCTCAACCGAAAAAAAGTCATTTTCACGGATAGAAAACTCATTTAACAAAAACTCAAAATAATAAAATAACTATGCGATTTAGTGTTAATAATAGCTAGAACTAACACCTAAGAGTACTAGACAAGTAGAACTATACAATACAAACATGTAGACATGAAAAAAAAAAAAAAACTTACTTACTATGTCGACGATTCGTGGGAACGTGCACTAGCTTTGAAACAAACAAACAGTCAAAATAAAGAGAGAATCGAATGGGGGGGATTTTTATTGGGGTTACTTACTTTAAATAGCAAGTCGCTCGTCAAAAGGGCAACTTTGAAGACTTTTATTTTTTATTTTTAAAATGTTGGTTAATAACGTAATTATATATTAAACAGTAGTTAGTTTAAAAATTTTCCCTTATAAAGTTGTTAATGGCGGTAGGAACTTCATGAAAGGGCAATCCGTGGCCGTCTACCGGCGGGCACTCTTAGCAGTGAATCATTTCTTCAACTCTCGCATAGATGGGATGTTGCGGTGAAGAGGAGGAAGACGGGCTCCTCCATGTCCTCCTCCATGATCCAAATCCCTCCGCTGAAGCAGAAGAATCCAACTCTACCTCCGCCGAAGCAGTGCTCTCCCCGATGAATTCCCACTTCTCGGCTCTAGGAACAAGGGACGTCCTCCGCTCGATCCTACAACTGCTACCGTCGTCGGATCTGGCTCGGGCTGCGTGCGTTTGCAGGGTGTGGAGGGAGGTTGCCTCTGAACGGGAAGTGCAGGAGCGGGCTTTCCGAGAACCGTGGAACGTCCGGCGGCTTATTGGTTCTCCGTCATCTGCTAGCTTTTGGCGCTACCCTGGCCTCAATAGATTCGCGATCTCCCATCTCCTCTTACGCGGCGACACCGTTGCTGGCGTTGCCCTCAAGTATTCCGTGCAGGTAGTGATCTCCTAATACCTGTTCTTCTATTCGGTTTTCGAAACTGAATTTCGATTGCTTTCGAATGTTTTCCATAATGCGTGGGTTGGGAGAGTTCATAAATGAGAAATGATGTGTTTCCAAAATGTATATTGTTATGGGAATTTATAGGCTATAAATCTGATTTCTGTTTTTTCATATGAGCTTTAGAATATGCATGGGCTTCATCTATGCCGTTCAGGTGTCAGGAGCTGCCATGATTAATAGAAGAATTAGAAGGGCAATATTTGTAAATTTGAGCTGCCTGTGTCTTGTATGTTTTCAGCGGCTGAATTTTTTAGAAAGTACACTAACAATTCTGTTCTTCTATTTTAAAGTTCTCATGCATGTTAGTTTTGTATCTATTGAAAGCTAGTGAAACGTAACTGTATAGCACACTGTTTAAATTAGATTGGTGCCAATCACTTGAAGGGAAAATCTATTCAGTCTGATTATCGAGAGGATAGCATGGGAATCCATTTGCTCTCAAAGGCTTTTTGTTGCGTTTGCTCTTCGATCTTTTCGCTCGTTTTTCAACTTGCAATGCCCGATGCGAAAGTTGAAGACTTGATACTACTGCAAATTTGTGAATAAATCAACCTCAAGCTTGGCAATTGAATTTCACTTATGATCACTAATATTGTATGTATTTTGAAATGAATTGGTATAAATTTACTTTCCATTTGTAATTTTATTCAAATCCTTCTTTCTGGAAGGCATTAAAAACTGTTTATATCTCCTACAGTAAAAAAAAATAGTCTTGTTTTAGGATAAGAACAAGTGCGCATGTTCATTATCATTAGCCTTATCCCAACTATATAAAGGGTGGGTTGACAATGCTCCTTTTCCAATCATTTTTGTCTGCATCATCATAAGTTCTTAGCACCATCAATGCATCTTGGTGCTTGCTCTTGCAAAGTGAGATGTTAGAAAAAAGTAGCTATTTCACTTCATTTACCTATTTCATTTATGAAAAATACTTTTAAACATTAAAAATATACTCATTGCAATAAAAAAAAAATTTAAAGTTTTGTTGCAATCAATGCTCTAAAATCTTGCCAAATAGATTTTCTTAAATAAATTATCCCAAAAAAATAAATAACTTGAACAATTGTTAGGTTTCAAATATGCATAACATATGCATAATATAATCTTTGTTATTATTTAGTTGATTACTATTATCCATTTTCTATTCTACTTGAGTAGAATTGTAATCTCTTATCATTCATCCGTATATTTGGAGTTATCCTCATCATCCTTAAGATTTTTACTTTAGAAGTTGAAGCTCTTGCATTTATATATTAATCTAACTTATTGTTGAGTTTGCACAATTGATTGTTTTTAAATTGTTCATGCTATTTTTTACATCATCCTTTCCTAATTTTATCATAAAAAAATTAACGAATTCTCCACATTTTAGTAATAACACCCACTTCTATATCGATAATTGATAAGGGATTTCCCCTCCTTCAAAACGATGGCATGCTTATGCTCCCTTGGGGGAGGTAAGCCTTGAGGGAGTTGGAACACCTCACTTAATTGTTGCAGGAGTGGTTGGACTATCTTTGGAACTTCCTCCTCTCTCTCTCCATGCTTCCCCCTCCCTTGAGGCTCTGGAGCTCCACCAAGAAATCTATCCCTGCTCCATGGATACCCTCACCATGGTCTTAAGAGAAACCTTGATTTTGGATAGACTAGGATCCCCCATGATCTTCACCTTCCTCCCTCCCATCATGAATTCCATAGTCAATGCTTTTTAGTCTACCTTGGTTTTCCTTAATGTTTGCAACCACTTTATGCCTAAAATTACATTTGTGCTCCATAACTCCAAGGGAAAAAAATCCTCCTTCAACTGGATCTCTTGCAGTGTCACCATCAACCATAGGCAAATGCCTATACTCTTCTCCATCTTCCCCGTTACTATCATCAACCCAAAATAACCCATGTCGACTAAGTTCAGCCCCAATAGGTGCACCACCTGGTTGGAGATGAAGTTGTGGGTCATCCCACTCTCCACTAAAACTACTTCTAATTCTCCTCCTATCTGTGTCCTCACCTTATGCTGTGATTTGAGGTAAACCCCACCATTGAGTTTAGGTAAACCTCTGCCACATCTAAGTGAAAATGCTCCTCTTCAACCACCTCCTCATCTAGAGACTTCCTCTCATCATCACAAAGTATAAGTACTTACAGCGAACAGTCCTTGCTGCGGTGTCCCGGTCTAAACTTCTCATCATAACGCAAACACAATCCCCTAGCCCGCTTCTCGTGAACCTCTACCTCAATCAGCCGCTTGAAATTTCCCCATGGTCTTGCTCCTAATCCCTTATCCTTAGGTACTTCTCTCTGAATGGGCACATGCTATAATTTTAGTGCTAAAAAAGTGACCATCGTCCGCTATGAAGCTCCCAAGCTGCTGCACTTGATGGTTCTCTCATATGAGTTTTTGCCCTCCACCAACTGGGCTAGCTCTATAACCTCCCCCCAACCCTCATGGCCTCAATAACCTAACAATAACCCCGATCTCTAACTTGAGTTCATGATGGGGACATCAGATCATCATGGAGAGTTTACCAGCGACGTGGCCGCCGATTTGCGGCCACGATCGAGTCGTTATATTTTTTGAGTCGATGTATTTTGTTTTCATGCATTTTATTATTTGCTTATGAGTGTTTATTTTATTTCCCTTTGTACCCCGTTGTATGGGAATGGTCATGTGTAAGCCTAAGGGCAATTGTGTCATGTCAGTTAGAGTCTTTTGTATGAGGCTATTTAAAGCCCCTTTGTCAAGCTAATGGATGATTATTTGAGAATATTGTCTTCTTGCTTGGAGCATTGTGAGAACTTGTGAATTCTAATGGAGAGAGATCCCTAGGAGAGGGAAATAGGCGCATCACCCACCAACCTTGGAGACGGCCGGGTTCGTGGTGGGTGATGCGCCTATTACCTTCTTATCTTATCACCACCTCATCGTCGAACTTCCCCACCCTCCACTTCTCACCGCCAGCCATCTCACCCGATCATTCCCCTCTCCCAAACCTCTCGGTCTCCCTTTACCCGAGAAACTCCCACCTTGCCGCCACCATTGCCCCATAAGCCGTCGGCCATAGCTCCTGGCCGCCGACCATCCCCCCTTTGATCTGTTTCCTATTTCGGATTTGGCATATTTTGGAATACAATTGAATTTGAATTCACGATAGCGGACTATAAATCCTAAGAACTTTCCTGCACTAACTCCAAATGCGCATTTTAAAGGATTCATCTTTAAATCAAACTTGCGCAGGCGTTCAAAAACGATTCGCAGATCTCTGAGGTGATCTTCGCGGACCTTGCTTTTGACGACCAAATCATCCACATAGCATTCAACCTGCTCATGTATCATCTCATCGAAGATGACAGTCATGGCACGTTGATAGGTGGCCCCAGCGTTCTTGAGACCGAAGGGCATCACCTTGTAACAAAAGACACCTATAGGTGTACGAAATGCAGTGAATTTCTCATCCTCAGGGTCCATCTTTATCTGATTGTAACCAGATGAACCATCCATGAATGAGAAGATGCTATGTGATGATGCTATATCCACCATAAGCTCAGGAATGGGAAGAGGAAAATCATCCTTTGGACATGCCTTATTTAGATCACGAAAGTCGATACAGACACGAATCTGCCCGCTCTTCTTCCGGACTGGAACAACATTGGCAAGCCAAGTGGGGTACTTCTCTTCCCTAATGAAACCAGCTTCTATCAGCTTCTTGGTAACTCGAACGGAGTCGATAGCGGCGGAGATGCAAATCTTTTTCGGAGAAATGCGTTGAGAGCTGAGGCAGATCAACGCGCGCCTGGATAGGAATCAAGACGTTCGGGCGACAGTACCGGCAACCACACCGGCAGCTAGACGCGGGTTCTTGACAGACAGGGAGCGGTTGAGAGAAACGGCGCCTTGAATCCTGTCCGATTCAGAGGATGAGGCTGGCGCATTTAATCAATTGGAAGTGTCGGATTTGGACGAAGAGCCGGAGTTGATTCGAAGGAGGTGGCCAATCGAGCGGGGAAGGCACCACAGCGAATTTCGCATTAAGCTAGACATCCCTTTTTTTGATGGTAAGCTGCATATTGAAGACTACTTGGATTGGGAAAGGTCCGTTGAGACCTTCTTTGAGTACATGGAGATTGAGCCGGAGAGGCAAGTCAAATACGTGGCTTGTAGACTCAAAGGAGGTGCAAGCGCTTGGTGGCAGCAGACTATCCAATCCCGGAGGCGTGAAGGCAAGGGTTCAGTCAGAAACTGGTTTCGTATGAAACAGCTACTCCGCAGCCAGTTTTTACCAATTGATTTCGAACAAATGCTATATGTGCAATACCAGCATTGCACCCAAGGAGCGAGGACCGTGAACGAATATACCGAGGAGTTTCACCGGCTCAGTGCTAGAAATAACCTGAGGGAATCAGCTAACCAGTTGGTGGCGCGGTATATCGGTGGCTTACAGGAAGCAATTCAAGATAAGTTGGAATTGAATGCCATTTGGTCGTTGTCACAAGCCGTCAACTATGCTCTCAAAGTAGAAATGCAGATGAGAAGGCACCAAGCTAGTCGGTCTCACCGTCGTATGTTCGATTCATCCACCGAAGGCGGAAAAGCAACTATGGTGCAGCCCGGTCAATACAACAAGTCCATAATTGCTTCAGCCAGCTCCAGTCTGCAAGCAGCAACTAGCTCCAAGGGGGCAGACAATAAACCAATTCAGAGAAGCAAAGCCCCGGTAAGAGAGAACCCTTATGCTAAGAATCCTAACATCAAGTGCTTTCCATGCTTCCAACAGGGACACAAATCCAACGAATGCCCAACTCGTCCTCAACTACAATTATTGGAAGGCGACGAAGATGACGAAGCAGACAATCTGGAGTATGCCGGGGATGAAGAGCCAGAGGATGTTGTGGGTGATGAAGGCGAACCGGTGATGTGCGTGATTCAGAAATTGCTTCTAGCTCCGAGACAAATGCCGAACTCACAGCGGAATGCTCTCTTTAAGACTAAATGCACAATTCAAGGAAAAGTTTGTGATCTGTTAGTTGACAGCGGGTGTACAGAAAATGTGATATCTCGTGCGGTAGTGCAGTCATTGCAGTTAAAAACTTCCAAAAATCCAAACCCTTACAAAATTAGTTGGGTTAAAAAGGGTGTGGAAATTTCAGTGACCGAATTGTGTAAGGTAGCCTTCTCTATTGGTCGACACTACGCCGGCGAAGTATTATGTGACGTGATTGAGATGGACGTATGTCATCTTATTCTCAGACGCCCGTGGCAGTTCGACGTAGGGGCTATTTACGATTGTCGGGCTAATACGTACGCATTTGATTGGAAGGGAAGAAAATTGAGGCTGCTTCCACGTACGGCGGAAAACGAAGTAAGTAAAACAAGCCCAAAGACTGCCTTACAGAGAAGACTCTACTCAACGTGTGGCGGGAGTCCAATTGTTTGATGATGTTGGTGGTGCAAGAGCCAAACCGAGACAATGATGAGGTGACCGAGTCTCCAGAAGTTCAGTTGCTGCTTCAGCAGTTTGCAGATCTGTGCCCACAGGAATTACCGAACGAGCTGCCACCTATACGGGCTATTCAGCATCAAATTGAGCTAATACCGGGAGCAATATTGCCCAATCTTTCACACTACAAAATGAGCCCAAGTGAACACCAGGCCCTTCAACAAATCGTGGATGAGCTGCTGACAAAGAATTTGATTCAACCAAGTGTGAGTCCTTGTGCGGTACCGGCATTATTGGTACCTAAAAAGGATGGGTCTTGGAGGATGTGCATGGATAGTAGATCTATCAACAGAATCACAGTGAAGTTCCGTTTTCCTATGCCGAGAATCGAGGACATGTTGGATAGGCTTTCCGGAGCAATTATATTTTCAAAATTGGATTTGCGCAGCGGGTATCACCAGATCCGAATTCGAAGTGGGGATGAATGGAAGACAGCTTTTAAAACTCGTCAAGGACTCTACGAGTGGAAAGTCATGCCTTTTGGGTTGTGCAATGCCCCGGCCACTTTTATGAGACTGATGAACGAAGTGCTCAAGCCATTCCTTAACAAATGCTGCGTCGTCTATTTTGATGACATACTAGTATATAGTGCAACCCGAGAGGAACATTTACAGCATTTAAGGAGCCTGATCGAAACTTTAAGGAAGAATAAACTATTTCTGAATTTGTCCAAGTGCAAGTTTGCTACCGAGCAGGTGGGCTTTCTCGGGTTCTTAATTTCAGCTGAGGGAATACGAGTTGATCCTAGGAAAGTGGAAGCCATAGAGAACTGGCCGACTCCCCGCTGTTTGACTGATATCCGAAGTTTTCACGGATTAGCAAATTTCTACTGGAAGTCCATTCGGGGATTTAGCAGCATTATGGCTCCAATCACCAATGTCCTGAAACAGCTGCAGTTCTCATGGGCAGAGGAACAACAGCAGAGCTTTAAGGCAATAAAATTGGCTTTAACTTCAGCCCCGGTTTTGGTTCTACCTGATTTTAACAAACCTTTCACGGTTGATACAGATGCATCTACGGTGGGCATTGGGGCAGTGCTATCTCAAGAGAGAAAACCTGTGGAATTCTTTAGCGAAAAATTAAGTCCATCCTGACAAAAATGGACGGTTTACGAACAGGAGCTGTACGCCGTGGTGAGGACTTTAAAACAATGGGAGCACTATTTATTACATCAGGATTTTATATTATGCAGTGACCACAAGGCCTTACAGTACATCAATTCACAGAAAAACATTAGCCGAATGCATGCTCGCTGGGTTATTTTCCTGCAGCGATTCAGTTTTGTCTTACAGCACAAAAGCGGGGCACAGAACACTGTAGCGGATGCGTTGAGCCGAAGGGCTATGCTGATCACACAGTTGCAATCCGAATTCTCTGGTCTGGCGTGCTTGACAGAGCTGTATCCAGGAGATGAATTTTTTAAAGAACACTGGGCTAAGTGTTGCAAACAAGAACCGGTAGATGATTATTCTATTCGGCATGGCTTTCTTTTCAAGGGACATTTACTCTGTGTGCCATCTTCATCGTGGAGGCAACATTTTATTAAGGAAGTTCATGCAGGCGGATTGTCGGCGCATATGGGCAGGGATAACACGATTGTGCAATTCCAGCAACGTTTTTTTTGGCCTCATTTGCGGCGGGATGTCTCGAAGTTTGTGGAAAGATGCTCAATATGCCAGTCTTACAAAGGCGGGGGCCAAAACACTGGCTTATACCAGCCACTGCCTGTACCGGAGTCTATATGGGAAGACTTAAGTCTCGATTTCATTTTAGGCTTACCGAGGACCAAACATGGCAATGATTCGATTATGGTTGTCGTTGATCGATTCTCCAAGATGGCACATTTCATTGCGTGCAAGAAAACGTTTGATGCTCTCAACATTGCCAAGATTTTTTTTAAGGAAATCGTTCGACTACACGGCATTCCCCGCAGTCTTATGTCAGATAGGGATGTTAAATTCATCAGCCATTTCTGGCGTGAATTATGGAAAAGGTTGCATACACAAATTCAGCTCAGTTCGTCCTATCATCCGCAAACTGATGGCCAAACGGAAGTGGTCAACCGCACGTTGGGGAATCTACTACGTTGCCTGGTTCAAGACAATCCTAAACTATGGGATGAGCTTCTCAGCCAAGCTGAATTTGCGTTTAATTCAATGACCAACCGATCCACTGGTATGTGCCCATTTAGTATAGTTTATACTAAAACACCCAATACGGTTCTTGATGTTGCAGTGCTGCCGAATTGCAAGAGCAAGACTGCAGCCACCTTGGTGGAGAACTATACTGAATTCCTATCCAATATTCGCTTAAGACTGCAAGCAGCCAACGCAAAATACAAATCGGAAGCAGATATTCACCGTCGGGAGAAACTTTTTAAAGCTGGAGATCTGGTACTTGTAAGGCTAAAACGTGAACGACTTCCCGTTGGCGAATACTCAAAGTTGGGCAAGAAGAAATGGGGGCCGTTTCCTATTGTCCATAAAATTAACGATAACGCATATGTCGTTGATTTGCTTGAGGAGTTTAACACATCGCACACTTTCAATGTCAAAGATATCTACACCTATCATCCTCCAGATGACCCCGAGAACCAACAGCAATCTGCTAGCACAGATTTTCTTTCTAGCGGGGGCGAATGATGCGGAGCAATCCCGGTTATTCGGTTCCAGGGAGTACTTTAACCTTCAGTAGAATAAACTTGCTTATTCTGTTAGTAGAATTCAGGTGCCACTACCTAGTTAGCTTTAGTTAGTTATATATTACAGCACTCCCTTTTTATTATGTTTACCTTTTAGTAGTAAAGGCTGGCATATATTAGCCAGAGCTGTTATCAGAGGAAAATAGCTTTTTCATTTCAATAGAAACAATACACAGCTCCACCGTGAATTGGAGTTTCTACATTGCTCGTCCCTCTTGTTTCTCTATTGCTTGCAGGTGTTGCGGCATCAACATGTATAACAGTTTTATTCAATGTCTTCTTCTTTTTTATAGTTTTATTCAATTTCTTCTTAGTGCATGCCTATGTCAGTTCTTCAGTTATATTCGTTCATCTTCTCATTGTTGAATCCTCTGCATTAAACACAGATGCCAAGGCTTGGCATTTATTTCATGGATGATTTTCTCAACTGGCCTTTTAACTTGATCATAAATTTATGTAGGTGATGGACATTAAGCGTCTAAACAATATGATGAGTGACCATGGAATTTACTCAAGAGAGAGGCTTCTCATACCCATAAGCAATCCAGAACTTCTCCAGGACAGCATCTGCTACATTGAGTTAGACGGTCATGCAAAGAGAGAAGTTGCAGTTCTCTATTTAGAAGGTGGGCCTAATGGAAAATCTACTCCTATTAGTGGTTTCATCACTGAAAGAAGCAGGAAGAAAATACTTGATTCCATGAAGCGAAGTATGCATGTAGATGATGAAACTGCAGCATATTACTTGTCAATCTCAAATAACAATCCCAGGGCTGCTTTTCTTCAGTTCTCTGAGGACCTTGGGTGGGAGCAAAGGCGATGAACGCCCCGGAAGTTCACATCATAATTCCATAAATGATTGAAACATTACAAAATGTTTGTCTTAGTATATAGTATTTTTGCCTCAGTATTCTCGGGCTTAACTCAAGGGAAAGGAGGTATGTTACCGAAGCTAAACTTCTATTGTTGTTGATGTAATCTTAATTTTGTCTTCATTCTAGGCAATTTCAGCTGCATCTATCGCTGGAAAAAATGTTTCCAGCCTTAAGTAGGCCTATTCTATAATCAAACACAAATTTGACTACTAGGACCAGCTAAACCAGATAGTGTTAACCCAATTTATGGAAACTCCTAAAAAAATCAGAGATTAACGGTCTTGAGGATTATTTCAAAAATTAACTTTGCATACTTATTGTATATAAGATTTTGTAAGTATACTAAAGTGATAGGAAATACTTGATTTCAAGTAGTTCCTAACCAAAACTGAAGCCGAACAAGGAGAAAACTGCTGTCTCCAACAGTGGACAGCAACTATGCGCAGGAAAAACAGTGAATTTTGCGAGAATATTGAGAGACAACGCAAGCAAAGACTTGTATTTTTACTAGTAGACGAAACAAATAGCAAAGATACAATTTGTTCTTCAATTCGAGAGGAAGAACGTACTCTCCAAAGTCTCCGGCGAAGCCAAGAGCCCAAAACAAAATCTAGATCTCAAAGAGAAAACTCAAATTCAAGATGAGATTCAAATTCCCCTCCAAACTCCTAATTATACAAAATTAATCATAAAGGACAATAATAAACTTCCTAAAACAGCCTTCCCATTCAAAATTTCCCTCCTAATCTCCCCCCCAAGCCGCCTACGTGGACCTCGCGTTTTTCCGCCCCGTCTGCTTTCTCCGCCTGGAGTAGCAGTGGACCGGTCCGGGTTGGACCAGTCCAGCCGGCCCCTCCTGGGCCGGCGTAACATAAAGATGTCTGAGATTATGTAATTTCATATTGACTACCGAGAAATATTTCTTGATACAACTTTTTTCTCATCCTTTTTATCATCCGATACCAAGCAGACCCCAAGAGCTAGGGTAAAAGGAATAACATGAGCTACTTAACAAATGAATCAAATATGAGCTATTTAGCAAGCCAAACATGAGTTGTTTGTGAACGATGAGTTTTTTTGACACCCATATTGGAATAGTGTTGGTTATGGAATTTGCTCCGGCTATACAGCTTCGAGAGGTGGTGAGTCTATGTGGGAATTGGTGAGGGATAGGCGTTGCAGGCGAGTAGCTTCATTTTCCTAGGTCGTTTTACTAGAGCATAGCAGGGAATAGAGGTCATCCAATCTTATATGGTGTAGCTTTGTCCTAATGGCTATCCTGAATGCTTGGTATGAGGGGGTTAGGCCATTTTGGGTATATAGGATGTCTTTGTGATCAAGTGGTGTGCCGATAGTGGTAAAGACGTTATACAAGAGAATGTTAAAAGCTTAGAATAGTAAGGTCAGGTGTAGTAGATAAAGCAACAGTTATACATGGTTGTCTTAAGGTTTTTGCATTCACCTTTCGTCGTGTGTACATTTGTTTATGTAAGTAAAAGAAAGGTTGCTTATGAGTGGATTTGCTTTACACATGTAGGGTTTAGATGCCTTAGTTTGTTTTAAGCTAACAGTGATGATTTGTATTTATGGAAGGTTGCTGCTCCACTTCGTCTGAGCTTACAGATGCCTTTATTAAGTGGCTATGCAGTTAACTTTAGTTTTTAAGTTGGAAAGGTATTGGGCCTTGAATTCATCATTCATTGATATGTGGTGTAGTTTGTTTTTCAAATGGAGAATGCTCTAGTGATTGCTCGACTGTAGGTGGCATTTTATGGACTAAATTGTGACAAATTTTGAGGTTGAGGATGTAGGTCAGTACGGAGGCCGAGATGGTGGATTAGATGAGGTGTTTTTTGGGTTAGATGGTGGTGCAAAGCGATTAGCAGGCAAGTGCTTAATCAGGAAGTAGTGGTGTTGCTACTACTGTATCAGCTTTTGTTCAACATTGAGTGTTTGTGATCGTCAAGTGAGGTGATTTTCAGTACTTACTTGAGCAGAGAGAATGTTCTTGATGTTCAACATCAAAATTTTGAGTTGGTTGGGGATGGAGGCTTCACCCATTACAGGAGATGAGTTGGTCGGTGCGAATGTTTCAGAGTACTTGGCGTGTGGACATGACCGAAAGTTTAGATGGTTGGCGTTTAGAAGTCTAGCCCTGAGACCATGCAAAACAAGCTAAGCATATGGCTGAATGCATAAATGAGAAAAGCAGAGGAGAGAAGGGGAGAGTGGCGGTAAGGGAGACATTAGGAAGAACTATTGCGCTTCATTATCTTAGCATTGATTGTTTCAATGGTGTAAATATATAGATATAGCTAGTGAACATCTTTGGGTGAAAGGCAGAGGCGGTTAAGGATTGCCTGGTGGTAATTGGCTTGGCTGTCGCAAGCGGATAAGATGCAGGTGCTGGAGCAGGGAGTGGGGATGTTGCCATTTATTAGGCACTATATTAATCCTGTCATTAACAAGGAAATCTGTCATTTGTTTGTATTGCTAGTTAAAAACAATGAATTTACCGCTCACTGATAAGTTTATCAAAGAATAAGATAATCCAGGAACAAAATGCCACTTGTATGTACTGCAGTGTCTCATGCTTAGGACTAAAAATTCTTGGGTTATGTGTAGTGCAGGTAGGTTTCCTTGACAATGGTTACAAGCTCCGATTGTGGAGAAATTATTCTGTGCGGAGGCCGGATGCATAACGCCTTCCGGAGACCAACCAGAATGCGCCATGTCAGGGGTACTGAACAGTACTGAGCCGCAGTACCGAGCAAAGGGGTGAAGTGACGCATTCTAGTTGATCTCCGGACGGTATTTGACGTCCGCACATAATAATTAATCCCAATAATTGCGAGGTTTGAATGACAAGCTCCAATTCAGAGCTTTGTTGAATTTTTCTTAGGGTTTCATCCCAACCAGTTTGATCCATCCTAACCTGCTTGAATTGGTAATGCAACATAAACAGATAATCTAGTGTTTCCGCTTGTAGATGCATAATCTTTTTTTATTGAAATATCAAAGTTCATATTCATTGAAAATGCAGGATGTGTGTGTCAAACCAATACAGTTGCATGTTGAGTTCTGAATTGAGTTGGTATTTGTAAGTTCTAATTTTTTTAATTTACTTCATCGTAAATATATTTATGATGAGGTTTCCCATTGCGGGGGTTGGTCGGTCGACATCGCAGGCAAAGAGGATTAGGAATTTCACAATGAAAATGAGAAAAAAAGGGGAGGGAGATTATTTTGGGCTTTTACAACCCGAAACATATAGTCGCAAGCCATATTGCAATAGTTAATACTATGCGACTAGCTGCTATGGCGGTCGCATATTCGATCCTAAGGTAACAATAATCTTAATGTATATAACATGTAGAATATTGTAAACATAATCTATGCGGAACCGTTTGAGATGCTAATATGTTAAAGTTGTACTTTTCTTACTTATCACATAAACTGTTTAAGTGCTAGTAACATACTAATCTAGTTATTAAGGAGTCTTTCAAAAAATTTTGCTGTCTCCAACCCAACCTGCTTGAATATGTGAAACAACACGAACAAATAATTTAGGTTTTGTTTTGGCGACTTTTTTATTGCTTCTTAAAGCAGTTTTTTAGTACAAATTTTTTAATTTTTTATTGAAAAGCTACTTTAAGAAGCTATAAGCAAGCAATCCCAAACGAAACCTTAGTGTTTCTGCTTGATGATGCATGATCTGTTTTGATGGAAACATGAAATTTTATATTAGTTGGAAATACGAGATCTGAGCGAGTGTTGAACAAGTTCAGTGGCATTCTGAGCTATGAATGGAGTTTTGGTGTTCTAATGTCCTCTCTCTCTCTCATTTATTTTACTGTAAATAGGCTTATGATGCTGATTTTTGTAAGAACCTAATGCATTCTTAAAATTTTTTATTTTAATTATAAGTTTGTAGTTAATGTTTGGTTGGAGTTTGTGGCTTTGTTGCCTTTCCACGCGCCTCTCTTTGTAGAAAACATATTCTGTGTGGACGGCGAACGTAGTTCATCATCTGGAGACCAACCATAATGCGTCACGTCAGCAGTACTGAGCCGAGGTACTGAGACGGGGTGGCGTGGCGCATTCGGACTGCAGTTGTGGTCCGCAAAGAATAATTTCTCCTCTCTCTGTATTCCTTCCTCAGGTAGTTACTGTTAGTTTGAAAAGATGTCCTTTTGTCTCCTTTGGATCTCTTCTACTAGGTTTTTCTTTACTGTATATGGAATTAGGGTGGCTGTGTATTTCTCAGCATTCCTACTGTAGCTATTAATGAGCCTTGATGTCTCTAGAAATCTCATATCTGCACTGTTATTGGGAACTTTGACTTGCTTTCTTTTTTTTTTCTAGACTAGTCTGGAAACTCAGTTTTAAATTTTTGTAAAACTATTTCAGCTGAATTTCAAATAAAATAATATTTATTATCACTATATCATATGATGTTTGGAAAAAAATAACGATCAACACAATAAATAAAATAAAAAAGTTATAATGAAAGACTTTGTTAGGAACAGTTTTCTTCCTACTTTTTATTTTAGTAAAAAAAATTTTGAACTAAAATTTTTTTTTATTAAAACCGTTTTAGAAAATAAAAAGAAAGCTATCTCAAATGAAGCTAAAGTTTAATTAAGATTAAGCTTTAGCTTCGTTTGGGACAGCTTTTTTGTTGCTTTTAAAAATAACTTTATAATATAAAAAATTTAATTTTTTATTAAAAAATTATTTTAATAAGCAGTAAGAAATCTATTCCAAACGAAATCTATATCAATTATCAGTAAGTTACACAAACTTCAAGGAACAATAAAATAAGAAGCATTGAATAAATTAAATGATGAAGACTTAATGAAGAGACGCCTAAAGTTGCCTTAAACCAATATGAACATTCAAAATCTAAGTCCTTCGATCATAAAAAAATTCTATAGCTCTTACAATTAGGCTGCCTGTAATTACTATAAATTATGCTAATTAGGTTAGGCTTTTCAATTTCTCTCTTTTCATGTAAGAAAATCATTTTCCTGAATATTTGAAGCTAAACCAATATATTATCTTCATCAACTATGATATAAGTGTTTTAATTCTAATTGAAATTAATTTTTTTAATCTTATCTCATCCTATCCTAATTTTT